CCAATGGGCTCACCAATATCGCCATGCCCAACGAAATTTGCATAGCCGGAGTGTATCTGAGAATCTTCATCTCTAATCCGTCATGGGCGCTGAGAAAACCCAGGGAATTTCTCACGGAACTGCTCGAAACTTGCCTTAACCTGATGAGCAAAGACAAACCAGAAGTGAGTACCGTGTAAGCCCCACGTTGGGCGCCAATATTTATTTGTTCGCATTTTTTTTTTCAAGGTGGAACTGTTGGAGCTCTGTACGACTGCCCTGTGCTCTCTATTGCAGTCCCAACCGGCCCTTTTGGACCTCGTACCTTCGATGGGTCACATTCCTAGGTTATGTAGACAACTGGGAGTGAATCTCAAACAAGTTGTGGTACCAAAATCAGCTATATGCATCTTGAATTCTCTGACCATGAGTAGTGTAAGTGAAAATTGTTGAGGTGTTGACTTGATATACAGGGTGATCAATTTTTTTCCTGATAACTCAATTGAGTGAAATTTTCAAAAATTATATTGAGAACATACTATGAAGAATTTGAGGTCATAATACTTTACATACACCCAACTAGAATTGGTTGAGAAGGGCGATATAGTATTTTCACAATATCTCAGTACATGCCAAAAATGCTTCCGAATCTTTTTTCTTGATAATTGTTTGGCATTTATTGTAACTTCTGATGAAAGATAATTAACAGAGGAAGATATGGTCCAAATTGAAATCATTTTTGGCATCAACTAACTGAGAAATTGTGAGAAACCTATAAAATGTTTTAAAGTTGAGAAAATTTGGTCAGTTTGGTGACAGAATGACAGGTGACAGTATCAGAATTTCTGGATGATACATATTATGGTTTTCAAGTAGTCTCAATGGAGGACTTGCTTTTGTGTTTTTCAAATATTGCAAATTTCGATTTGAATGCAAACAAAACACAAGCATGTCTTTTTTCTAGAAAAGCCGATCTCACTGTGCCCAACATAAGCTTGTCAGGAGGAATCAAACCTTTGAAGACATCCATTTCGATGTTTGGTATTACTATCAGCAATAACCTCTCTTTGGAAAATCACGTGAGATCAATTGCTGAAAGTGCATCCCAAAATCTTGGTTTTCTGTTTCGGGCCAGGAGCTATTCCACTTCTAGTCAGCTGCTTATGATCTATAAGGCATATATCCGACCTGTCCTGGAATACTGTTACCATATTTGGAGTGCAGCACCCAAACATACCCTGAAGCTGTTGGATTCTGACCAAAAAAGGGCAATTCGTCTCGTGAGTGATGCCTCGCACACAAACTCACTCACTTCTCTGGAACACCGTAGAAAAGTTGGCGATCTGGCTCTATTTTATAGATATTTTCATGGACGATGCTCTTCTGAAATATCAACAATTGTTTTTCCCTTGGCAGTCCCCGCGAGATTAACCCGTCGCGTTGAGGCTTCGTACCCCTTCGTGGTCACTTTGGAGACCTGCAGAACATCTCTTTCCAAAGACTCGTTCATCCAACGAACAGCGAGGCTCTGGAACACATTGCTAAGGGAGGTGTTCCCCAAAGCATATAACCTCCAAAAATTAAAGAAGAACACCAATTCCTACCTCATTTCCCTTGGTTCTCACGATGTTCTCTGAACATTACAGGATATCCCTTTTCGTGGGAACCAGAACATGAAAAAAACTTCACTAGCACATTACAAAATGATGTAAGAGATATTTTGCTGCATTTTTTTATGCATTGTACAACAGCACAATGTGATAGCATGCTTGAATTATTGAATAGCCGAAAACACAGTTAAGAAAAGTGAGGTTTTGTTTCAATGTTTTACCTCCAGGCTAGGCTGATCTTGCACGCAACCCATTGTAATTCGGTCTACTTTTTTGGAAAAAAATCAAATCACCCTGCACGTTCCCTCAGATTTGCGTGGGGGCGATAGCGCAGACCGATTGCATGCACCCGCTGAAGCAAGCGATGCTAGCGCGTAAAGACATGGTCGCCGTGGCTTGCGAGGCCCTTGACAGGCTGTTCTCGAGCAACCAGGAGCAGCTGGTGAAGCAGGCGCTGGACGTGGAGTTCGTGCAGTTCCTGCTCGGATTACTAGAGGCTCGCTTGGAGCTGATCGACAATCCTGCCATGACCAAGGCGCAGATCGTCAAAGCGCTGAAGTCGATGAGCAAGAATTTGCTGTACGGCGATAGGGTGAACTGTATTTTGGAGAAGAGCGCTATCTGGGCAGATTATAAGGATCAGAAACACGATTTGTTTATTTCCAATACGAACGTGTCTGGCTACCTTACCGGTAAGTGTCATTTTCTATTTGAAAAAATGTCTGTCGTTAACGGAGGATGCATGATTTTCAGTGGAATTTTCAAACATTAACCCAGATATGCCTACCGACCTTCTATAAGGACACTTCGTAAAAAGTTTACTGCGTAATTTGGGTATCTTCGTGAATATTCTCACTGATAATCTTTCATAATTATTTTTGTTGTCAAAAAATTTCAATGCATTGTGTGTTTTGAATCTGCATCTCACAACCTCAAATTTTCAACTGTTCTCTGAGAAGGACATTAGGCATATAAGCAATGTTTCTCGTGGTTTCACTCTGCAATCTTTAGAAGATGACAAAACTAATAATGAACAATCTGAAATATGTGACAATTATGTCTCCTCTCAATTATTGTGAACCAGTTACGCAGTTACATTTTCAAAACGTTCTAAACCCTCTCCCTTAGAAAATGCATATTGCCGTTACGATCATTCGATGGTAACGCAGGACAAGAAAACTAGATTCCGATATTTTCATAAAAATGTTTTCACCAAAAGCCAAAAGTGCAAGGTTGCTCTCTAACTTACTTCTTTTGTTTCAATCCCTATTATGACAGAGACTAGTTGAATCACAATTCACATTCTTCATTCGATTTCATGTTCAGAATGGTTTTTATGTCCTCTTATATTATATTTGGGATACTGAAATAATACAGAATAATAGAAACTTTTATTCAAGGAAATTTCACTCATTTGCCTTCTGTCCTTCTAAAAGGACACAGTCTTGTTGGAAATTCCGGCTGTCAATTTTTTTTCAAATAGTTGAGACATTACGACAAATTATTTTGAATTTTTTGACGCTTTGTCACTGTTTCTCGCTTTCTGGACACAAAACATCCAAAATCAGACATGTAACTCTATACGTCGGTAATGTGGCTATTAACTATTAGAATCTTGTCTTCTTCTTTCGTCTTTTGGGACTTGTAAGTCTCAGATTATTTAGATGATGAAATGAAAATATCAAATATCTAAACCTAACATCAGGTGGGCACTTCGAAGGCGCAAATTCATTACTACATGTCATATACCCTTCCGATTTTCAGCTATTTAGTGACTTGACCACGAATGACATTTCGGAAACGGCAGCCATCTTGAGGTGTTTACTGTCACCACTATTTAATCTACTCACTCTACCCTCAATGTACAAAAACGTCAAAATGAGTGTCGAGTACATTAAGAAACTCTAGCCTTTATTAGTACAGATTGTGAACAAGTTTGGAACGATTTTCGACGATTGTAATTTTGGATTTAGCTTCTTCCTCCTTCTGAAATTCACAATGATTTTCAGGCGGTACTCCTGTAACTGCCGGTTATTTGACCCAAGGACCCAGTAGCAAGGTAAATGTGGCACCGCCACCTGTCGAAAGGGATGACCCTTTATCAAAGAGCGAGGCTTTCTGACTCTTCATGCAACCATCCGATTATGGTTAGAGGTTAGAGCGGTACCGGTGAAAAAAGACATTCCCGACGTAACCAAGCAATAGGCGTCGGGCGGCCGCCATCTTGTCCGTCAATGTATCTCGAAATGAGAGGACATAGCGGTCTTTGCTCGAATGCCGGTGTATAGATTGTATAAACTTGTATATTGTTGTAGGTTTAACAGTGATACTTCGTATGCTTTATATAATTATTTTATAATGTTTATTTACAAAATATACCTATATATTTCCATTACTGTATCGAAATCTTAACAATTTCGTTCTTGTTACTATAAAGTTGATTTGTATTAAAACATTGTAAACATCTCTGGCTTTTGAAGCATATTTTTTTCAGTAACATAATCAATTAATATATTTAAAATTACCATTAAGGGAAAGTCTCATTGATAACATGAAAGGTGGACTGCCAGAAAAAGGGATTTCCAAATTCCAAGAATGTTTATGTTACTACAAATTACATTTTTCATATGATGTTCATTCCTTTCTCTAACCTTGACTTTGAATTGCATGCAACTGTTGTGGTTTAGTATTTTTTAAATTTTTTTATTATGACCTTTAATCAAGGAATATTCAGATTCTAGATTCTCAAGAAAAAAAAAACTAAACTGAAGCTAAATAAAATCCAATACCAAGAGTCGGGAATTCTGCAAATGCTATGATATATTATGCACACATGAATTTGAGTTGTTTGTAAGAGTGTTTGAGAAGGAATGAACAACGAGGTGTTTCCATGGGATGCAGAAATACGTCCACAGCGTATACCGGGTGAGAACGAGATCATTGGACAGGTCATTCAGTTGTTTTTATAAACATGTATGTTTCTTGGGAATAATAATAATAAAGATAATAAAGAAATTGAAAAAACAATTGGATATCACTTCCGGTTTCACCAGAAACTAACTTTAGGTCAATCATTTTAAATGGAAACCTGTAAATATTTTCACGTCAATCGATAGAGCAAAAAAATCCATTTTCAATGATATGTCACAAGTGGACATTTGTTTCCAAAATGGCCGACGTGACAGAAAATAACTGAATACCTCAAATAATGCATATTTATGAACTATACTATACTTACACACCAAATTTTATTTGTTTATTTATAGAAACAAAAAAGTTAAAGGATGATCCACTGTTTAGAAACACCCGGTATATCTGTAAATTTCCGTGATCCACCTCCATATTACACAAGTGTCATCTTTTTAAAAAACAACTACACCAAATATTGATTCGTAAAAGCATGTAAAAGCATCAAGTATTAAGATTGTCATATCTTATATCTGCGGCGTTTTCTACCGAATTGTTCAATTTCAAGTATTCTGAATAGCCCTCTAATAGCCCGTCCAAGGTTTCCCGAAGACTTGAAAATGAAGGCCTGGATTTCGGATCTTCTTTCCAGCAGCTCCGCATCAAGGCATACCTAGGAAATATTCGGATATTAGAGGTGAGTTATATATTCAATTGTGACTTCTTTTGTAAAAGTTAAACCATTATCGATCTAGTAGGCGAGGTATAAAATGTCTGTTCACTGACTCAAGATATGTCTGCATGTCAATACCGCTGTTATTACTGAAAATGATAAGATTCATTCTGACTGTTTGAATTTCTAACGGACCGATAAAGCGCGACCTTTGTTTTCTCGGTTGACTAACTGTCAATGTAAGTGTGGTTTTGAGAGAGATGTCAAAGTTATCAAAAATATAAAGGTGAACGAGCAATTCCTATAGCCTTTCTATTCTTAGCGTGCATACTATATGATTTCAATTGAAGTGCAAACAGTACTGGTGAGTTTCCATTTCCTACTGAAATTCAAATAGCATCAATAAACTGAGCTATTTCATCATTGCATAAACAATGGTTTTTAATCTGTACATACAGGGCCTGGCAACAGGATTGAATGGTTTTGAGAAGGCTGCTGTGGAAATACTGTTCATTTGATAAAGTGATTGAAGGTTTTGTGTTGAAATGGCAATTTGGCCGGATAATCAACATGGAACTTCTAGTGCAGTTAAATACCGAATTGCAGAACGAGTTGGACTCCTTTCAACAGCTACTCTGGTTCATTCAATATATGACCTTGTGTACGCACTGTACGTATACCTCCGACACATTTTGAGTTTACACTGCCCTTTTCGTCTATATCTCTTACCCATCTCAAAATTCCATTTCTTGATGGGACTTCAGTGCGCCTCTGGGTTTGCACGATGGACTGGGTCAGGATAAATGATTTTACAGGAAAGATCCGTTGGTTAACTACAATTTTATCACTATTCCAGTTAAATAAACATTATTTCTACAGCAACCTTTTCGAAACCATTCAATCCTGTTGCCGGACCCCGTATAAGTATAAACATCGATCATACTTAAATGTTTGAATATGAGACATTTTGGTTTACAAACTTGACACACTGGTTAATTTTGACAGGAATACGTAAAATTTTTAGGGTTAGGATGAAAAATGAGGTCACTGGCCCACTGAAAATATTGTCGATAATGGCGATTTTTGCCTATTTTTTTTTTCAATGAACTGACAATATCACCTTCACCGCACTTTTCAGATAGGATCGAGAGTTATCGATAGTGTAGTGTTGATTTTGGTGGTGGTGAGTTTTGATGTTGACTCAAAGACGGTTGACGATAGAATCTGGTTTATTTCCCAATTGATTATAATAACCGATTAAGCTGAGGTGGAAGTGCATTGCACTTCAGTTGTACTTTTGTTCGCTTATTTCAAATATCGACCTGATCATTGTGCAACTTTAAGAGTTTCGCTGAATAGCACTACAATAGTATTGATTGTTTCCCAAATTTCGTTTACTCACAGTTCGTCACTACAATTATCAGGCTGGGGCATGCGATATCCGCTATTCAACATCCCCAGCAGCTCGTGGGTCGGCACTCCTGGGTAAGGGGTGCTTCCCAACGTTACCATTTCCCACAACAGCACCCCGTAGCTCCAAACGTCGCTTTGTGTCGTGTAAACCTACGGAATAAGAAACATTGATCTGAATAAGTGTCAAGTCTACAATATTGACAAAGTAACTTTTCTTTCTGAATGCTCATACGTCAGATTCATCAACTGTCCTGCAATGAAATAAATTACAAGCAGAAAATGGACTGATGCGGCCTGGTGAACCGAATCAGTACTTCCTAGCTCTTAAGGAAGACTCATCCTCGATTTGTTAGTTTTTTTTTATATCCTTTGGATATGATTATATGACTTTTACTTTTGACACCAACAGGAATTCGCGTATGAAAACGATTTATCACTCATAAATAATTTCATTGGATTGCCTAATACTTCAATTGGCAAAGAATACCAAAGCTTTGCCGTTCTATAGACAAACGAATTTTGGAGTTATGAGATAAATCTACTTGTTTTTTGCATTCAATCCCTTGAGACTTTTTCTCAAAAAAAATATTTCGAAATGTACAGCTGAAGAACAATAGGAAAAACATATCCTAGTGAATAAAAGTTATTATAATTTTTTTGCCCAAAGGCACAAAATATCAATGTAGGTGTGATTTTCAGAGAGATGACTATGTTGCCAACAATATGAAGGTAAATGAGCAGTTCCTGCCTTTTTATTCTTGAGAGTTTGGGCATAGTTGTTCATATGGAACAAGCTAACAAACTACATTTCAATCTTTTAATGTGTATCTTGGTGTCCTACAAGGGTCGGTTTTAGGGCCCATAGTCTTAAGTGTTATCAATGATATTTCAGTATTCATTAGACCGTGGTTTTTAGTACAGTTCCGTGATGAATTATTCGAAGAATAATTTTCCTATTTTACGTTCAAAGATAAGTGAGATTTTATATTTTATATCATAGATTCAAACAAGGTGTCACTTACCATACATTGAATTTCTTTCTTACGATTCTAATATGATCGATTTTTAAGCGCTGAGACATTTTGGGGCAAATCATCTGAAATGCCCCTATATTACTATGAGTATATTGAATTTATACTAACATTTCAATTCATAGAGACGAGGAAAGAAATTATCGAAAATTATCTATTTAGAAAGAATATACAGTGTGTTACAATTTGGTCCACCCTACCCCTGTACTTTCGTACTCCTAGGGCGATTTTTACCAAATCCGTTTTCTTCAATTTTGCTGGAGTTTTTGTGATCACAGTATGCTAAGAAATTGTAATTGATGAATTTTGTTTGCTAGATAATTTTGAGTAGTATACTGTGAGAAAAAAAAATTCAAATCGCCCTAGGAATACGAAAATATAGGGGTGGGGTGGACCAAATTGTAACACGCTGTAAATTGTATTGTATAAAAATATGTCTGTGGTAAAGTGGAGAAAGCTGTTTATAGGATCGACAAAAAAAGTGAATTTTACCTGATGCGTTAGTGATTCCAAGGCCATCCAGCGAATTGGCAGTTTGCCTCCTCCCAGTTTGCAGTAAACATTGTTGTAGTAGACATCTCTGCTCAGGCCGAAGTCCGATATTTTGATTGTATTTCTATCGCATACCAGGACGTTTCGGGTAGCCAAGTCTCGGTGGATCATCTTCAGAGATGCAAGGTATTCCTAGAAAAATAATTGATACATATTCATTGTACCAAGGGCCAATACTGAATAACAATTTTTGTCTGTCTACGAGTAGGTTAAGATTGATTCATGATATATCCTTACCATTCCCAATGCAACTTGTCTAGCAAAAGAAAGTACATCTTTATGCTGCGGAATATCCTCCGTGTCTTCCTGACTCATGTCATACAATTTGTTGAAAGCGTAAACAGATGTAGAATTATTTTCACTATCGATATTCATCATTGCCCTGAAAGTACGATAAAATCAAAGATGGAGAAAACGCTACTGAAAAAACTATTTGAAAAATCACAATATCTAATTTTATTTAATATATGTCGGTACATAATATTACTGGAACTTACGCCTTTGATATTTTTTCATAGGCAGATCGCAGATAACTTTGTAGGTCACCTTTAGAGCAATATTCAACAACTAGTAAGGGTGCTTCTTTCACCACACAACCCACCAAAGATACTAAATGTGGGTGAGGAGGTACAGATTTCATTATTTCTATTTCTTGGCAAAACTGTTTCAACTCCTCATTGGTGGGAGGATCTGAAAGGATATAAAAATTAGGAATCTTGGATTTTGATTTTTTGTAATTGGTTTCTACCTCTCAACATTTTTATGGCAACTTCGATATCGGTACCATTCTCCTTAGAGTACCATCCTCTTCGTACTATTCCAAACGCCCCTTGTCCTAAGACATCTTTTATCAATAATCTCTGGATGTCTATGTCCCATTTATCTGGTTTTAAATACGGGACAGATATAGTGCTAGCTGTGATTATTGCACTTGGTAATTTTCCTTCTATTTCCTGAAATCATACAAAATACATTTTTATCCACAACTGTTGTAAAAAATATTCATAATACATGTACTTCCTCAAGCAAAACGGTAGCTATCGTTCAAACCAGTGAATAATAGCAGAGAATAACCATAATTCACTGGTCTAGATTTCCTAGGGTACGCGAAATCACTTAGACCAATGAATAATGGTTATTCACCGCTATTATTCACTGGTGTGAAAAATGGCTATCATTTTGCTTGAGGAAGTACAACAGTCGTGGACAAATAATATAACAGGTATCTTCAATTTCGAGTTTTTTTAATGTCAAATGAGTTATGATGAAACAGTTATGAAAAATAAATTTATATATCAAAGATAATAGTCGTGGACAGAGTATAATATTCTACTCGCATATAATGAGCTGTTATTCAGGTTAACTATGCCACTCGCTACGCTCGTGACAAACTTAACCTTCATGAATAATAGCCCTCATTATATGCTTGTTAAATAATATACTAATAATTATTTATAGAATTAATAGAATATCATTATTACTACCCTCACCCAGAGACCCAGACTGAAACCTCAGGATAGAAAGAGGAAAGCAAGGTTGTGAGAAATAAGGTAATGGATTGAGTGTTTCTTCCTCAAACATTTATTTTATTATATTTCTTCTCTTCTTTTTCCACATTCCGGTTGATGTTGGGTTGTTGAAGAGGCAAAAAGCACAATTCTTCCCAAAAAATCGCAATGGCGCAAAACGAACTTAAAAAGCGCAATCATCGCGCTTTTTGCGCCTTATTGGCAACACTGTACAAGACGCTACCACGTCGGCTAAATGAGAAAGGAATCTAGCCAGCTAGGACCACCTTAACCACACCACAGATAGCTAGATTCCTTTCTCACTTAGCCGACATTGAGACGCTAAGTACTGAAAGGTTTGGATTATTCAAATAATTTTTAATTTCAAAGTGTTCTGCCCAAAAAGATCTGTCAAAAACACTGCGAGTTGAGTTTCAACAATTTCATTTCTAAATTGAAAATAGGATTAACATGTTGATGTAGACCTAGATGAACATTAATAACAAGCCCTTCATAGTCAGGTAAATATATCTAGTATAAATTGGTTTTTTCTGTGACGGGAAAAAAGTTTGGCATTTCATCTCTGTTGGCAGGTTATAAAATGTCACTTTTCATAAATTACTTTTTTCCCGTGGGAAAAAAGTGAGTACTTCTTTCCCGGATATATATCACATATATATACTTTGTTAATGGCTTTTGTTGTGCTATTGTTCCGAAAAATGAGTCAATAATACCGTCTCCGAGAAAGAACTGCAAGTCCTTTTATCTTACATTCGACTTCGCGGTTTCGTATATTACTAAACAACTACTGAATTCGCAATTTTTTAAAATAAAATCACAGAATTGAACTGACAGAAGTGACATCAGATATTTGATTACTTCAAAAGAATGATAAAGATGTCTATAAAACGCAGGTGTCCCTACTGTTAAATACTTGAAATTTCACGTCGATAATTTTCACATTTCGAAATAATGTAATATCTTCTCAATATTGATTCGTCCTTCCTTCTGTCACAGAAAAAAATAGTGTATTATACACGGGAAAAATATTAGATTTTAGCTCACGGTTTTTTGTCTCCCTCCGCTACGCGTCGGGAGACAACACAACCTGGAGCTAAAATCTACTACTTTTTTCCCTTGTATAATAAATAACTATCTTTTTTTTAATAGATAGATATTTTTGACTATGTTATATACAACGATACATTTATAGCAGGTCAATCCCAACAAATATTTTATTACCCCGGAATGATTTCGTATACAGGGTGTATCTAAATAACACCGAAAAAATTCAAGTGGTGATTTCTTGTGATAGTTTAGAAAATAAAGTTCATATGAACATGTGTCCTAACATTCTTCGTTTCCGATATACAGGGTATTAATATTTCCATGAAAGATCGTTGTTTTATTCATTACTCGATTGTCTTTTCATCAATTTCAATAAAACGTTGTGGTTTTCTTAATAGTGATATGGAGCTTCTTCTGGTGCAATTAAATTCGAAATAATATTTCCAGTGGCGTCACAGTGGGTAAATATTTAAAAAGTTCAAAATTTCGACTCCTTTTTCCTCTTGCGTTGGATGCATTTACAGGTACTTGCTCTTCTTATTTTGTCATTGGACACTTTATATACTCATGATGTACTTCAATGACACATTTTTATACAGAAAATTCAACAGGATATATGATTTTTATGGTGAGTTTTCCCTATTTAGTGAGCAAGCATAGGCAATCCAAATACGAGATGTCAAATGTCAATAGATTGCTTTAGAATGACATTACACACGCCATTATTTCAAATGATATTCTTCCTTCTTTTCACTAAATATGGATAAATCACAAGAAAATCATATTTCTAGTTGACTCAATAATAGAAAAAAATGTGTCTCACATTGTGATATATATAAATTGTCCAATGATGAAAAAAGAAGGTGAAATTTGTAACTTTATAGTGAAATATCTTGATGAATAATGGTTTGTTCACATTTTCATCATCAAATTCGTGTTTTTCAGACAAAAATACGTAAGTACCAAAAAAAATTTTCGAAAAAAAACCCATCGCATGCTAAATGCAGTTTTACCAAAATAACAACTTTTTTTATTCCATGTGTGATTTTTGTATCTAGCTTAGTGAGGAAACTAAAAATTCGATTTGACTCCAAATTTAATGTAGGTGTTTTGAAGACTGTAATTGAGCTTACTCAATAACCCCAATTACAATCATTTTGAAATTTTGGGGTTTTCTCATTCTCCAACCATACTGAATTTTGGCACCATGAAAGCTTATACAAGAGGGGTTTGAAATAAGAACAATTAATAATTCCAACTTCAACATCCTGTATCCCAAAAACAGAGTAAGCTAGGACACATGTTTAATGAACTTCATTTGCTAGAATATCACCTCTTGAATTTTTTCGGCGTTATTTAGGTACCCTGTATATGGTTTTTTATTCAGGTGGATTTTTCAAATCAATAGCTTGATATTCACCTTGAAATATTTGTTCCTCTCTCGATTTCTGGCTCTTTTGCCCACATAGTGGTTCAAAACGAAAATGGCGGCCAAACAGAGGACCAAGAGTGGCCCGATGATAGTCAGTAGCAGCTCCATGGAGGTCAGAGGCTGTTCGTCGACTAATTTCCAGATACTTTCGTCGATGTGTCTGTGGACGACTGCTGCTTCACTGGCTCCCCTTTCTGAATAGGCAACCAGCAGGACTTGGTATTCGGTGGTGAGTTTTATTTTATGGAATGTAGCATTAGATTTCTCCTAAAAAAAAGTCATCAGTGGCTTTCTTACCTTGGGTGAAGTCAACTTATACAAGTAGTGGTATGACAGAGTATATATCTTTTTGATTCAAATTACTTTTTCTCCTAGCGGCAGGGATAGTGGCTTTTTTCTGCCGCTTAACAGGCAGAAAACGTGTACTTTTACTGCCTAGGCAGAAAAAATTTGTTGCTATGCAACGTTCCGAGAAATTCTAATGAAATTAGTAATCAAAATTGACACTGACATTGGGTGAACACAAAATGATGGAGTTTTCAATAAAAAAATTGCACAAAATTTGTTTTATATCATTTGGAGAAAAAATTTTATGTTTCACACGGCAGAAAATGTATCTAGATTGACTGCCTTGGCTGAATTCCTAACCTCGCTCCGCTCGGCTATGAACTATCAGCCGCGGCTGTCAATCTACTACTTTTCTGTCTAGTAAAACATCACTATTTTCTCCAAATGACATTATAGGTGGGTTTTTAATGACACTTGACCGACGTAAAAGTTGTACTCTTACTGCCTTGTCAGAAAAAGTTTGTATGCCATATAAATTGAACCAAATTGGTTATTAAAATTAACAATGACATTTGGTGAACACAAAATTATGGATTATTTGGAATTTGCGTAAAATTGGAAGGAATTCTATGTTTCGCAAGGCATAAAAGAAGATTTAATTCCTTGGCAGCATCAAATCTTGTGCTTTTATGCCTATTGTAACAAATAACTTTGAGCTTTTTGTATTTATTTAAATAACTATTATTGACTGACCCATGTTATATTGAGGAAATAATTTGTTGCATTGTCATCGAAGAGTCTCAGATTAGCTGCATAGAATCCAGGAGGGTACTTGGGTTTCTTCCAAGATAAATGGACGTCATAGCGGGGGTTCTTGCGATCGTTAGTGGAATTCACTAGACTTTCTTCAACTGTCAAGTTTTCTGGTTTGTCTGGAACTGGAACAAATAATATTAATTTTCTCGTTTTATTGAAGAAAATTCGAAATATTAATCTCCCTGGTATCACAAAACTCAATTCCTTGATGTACAAAACTTCTTCCCTATGATGCCTCCCGAAGATACTATAATTTTAGTTGAGGAGGTATTAATTAAAAACAATCAAATATTCACCTTCTGTCCATATGTCTCAAGCAAAACTACTTTCAATTATATAATGAAATGTACTACACTTCACAAGGTTTGATTATAGGAAATCCATTAAGCATTATACTTTCAGACATTTTCATGAATAATCTAAAGCGATTGATACATAAACATCCACTCATAAAACACTTTTTGTTTTGGTACCTATTGGTACATATATGACGTAAAGGTATGTTTTAGAGGAGCAAATAGACAATTTTACACAAATTAGGTCACAATTTTGAAGCGAGCTCGAGTACTATATCAACAGATAGGTGTTGCGAGTAGAAATGGCACACACTGTATAAGTTATGGGAATAAATGTTTCATTAATTATAATTGTTCGAGTATTTCACTTGAAGAAGCTACTGTGTGTTAGCGAAACATGTCGTGTTTTTAAGAATTTCATGGAAATCTTATCATTTGTGGAATTTTTCTTGTCACATTTCTAATGAGAATTGTCCAACGCTAAGTGATTTCTCATATTTTGTGTAAAAATTCCTGAAAGTGTGATAGTGGGATACTTACTGCATCTGATAGACTGTTGGTACGTCTCAAAACAGGTCGGTACTGTCAGATTGAGCCAGGTTTTAGGACCTTCCAGAAGATTGATCTCATTGAATGCAGTAATGGCTATCGAGTACTGATTTCCGAATGAAAGATCTGTTATGTTGTAACTGTCATCATTCAGAGGCTAAAAACGATGATCGTGAATTTTTGTTCAATTTGTATCATCATTCAAAACTCACATTGAGAATGTCATCTTCTTTGAAATCTCCATCATGGCCTAGGACTACCATATTATAGGTACATGAATTATCTAAAAATTCAAAAATGTATTAGAACAATTTGTGAAAATCTAGAATCTCAAGATCAAAGAATTAGCCGATGCAAGACGTACTGTTTCGGCTTGCCAATGCTCATCAGTTGCACTAGGCCAGCTAGCTAGCCTTCAGACTTTAGAGCCATCCTTTTGTGAACTTACCTACACCTTTAACCCATTTGACTTGTGCAATATACTGTCGATCCACCAGATACCACTTTTCCAAATAAAATCTTGCCACAGAACCTGGAGTACTATCTGGTCTTCTAGTTCTGATATAAGCTGGAGAACTCCTTCTTGTCTGCGTTCTGTTTTCTGTGACTAATAGGCTTCTCAACTCAACTCGATATATTGTATCTGGGCTTAAGTCCGGAAGGATTTCGAAACCACATCTTGTCTGGAATAAGATATATTGTATTTTTTTAGCTCTTGGAGCGCACGAAAGGAAATTCCTATAATGTTCGGGGAACATCGTAAGTACCTAAGGAAGATAGGGAGAGGAGGTAGGTGTTGGAAACACCACAATCTGTATTGATTAATTCCAATTCACTTGACCCTTCAATATTTTTTTCATGAGTTTTGAGGAGAATGTGAGAGTAAAATGAGAGTCTATAGTTTTTACGAAACAATGATAATTCATTAGAATTCATAAGAATCTATGAGAATGAATGAGTATAATGAAGAATAATACGATAGAAATTGTAAAAGTACTCTCCTTCGATCGATGGATCGGTGTTGAAAAAAATACCTTATAGGAAGAAGATTCATAAAGGCCGAGCAGGGGCGGATCCAGACGATGTTTGAGGGGGGGGGGCATAGAAAGTCACGGCTCAATAAGGTTAGCGCGGAAGAGAAATTATATGAGAAAAATGCTTTTTCATTAAAAAAACTGATCATAGTAAACATCGAAATTATTGGTGTAAAAAAATGTTCCATCAAGGTATGTAGAATTCTGCAATAAATCATATTGGATAAAAGAAGTGAATGAAAAAATATTTCTGTTTAAAAACTTGGGTACAAAAGTGAATGAAAATATTTCTCTTCAAAAATAAAACGAATGAAACAGACAAAAATGGAAATATATAAAATGAAGAAAACAAATTCCAGTCTTCTATTCTTCTGCCTAGCTTATCTTTGGATGATATCATCAACATTCAGACTGCTGCAGATGCCCCTGTGAATATGCATTAATGCCAATCCATTTAACCAGTCTTGGACCATTCTGGATCTTATCCAATTTTTCAGCCTTCTGAGTGTTGAAAAACTTCTTTCAGAAGATGCAAAACTTAGAGGTAGGCAACAAAATAGTTCCAGAAGGATGTTTATGTTAGGAAACAAATTTTACATTCCTTCAGGGCAGTTATACCATTGTTTGGTATATTTTGCTTAGTATCCCTCATTTTCTTCCATATATACATTTCAGAAACGATCTTCTGGAAGGACATTTCATTATTTTCCCCAAAACTGTTCAAGTATATTTCATATTTCATACCTCATAAATTTCCTCATCTGTTTTGTTTTTAGTTATTGAGGTGGCACACAAAGGTGAAGGTTGTATAGGTTCAATTCATTTTCTGATATTCCTTCTTTCAGATCAATAATAATACTGGAATGAAAACAGTTATTCTGTAATGGTCATCCACTGAGGAAACCGTATTTGGTCTATGAACCATTCTCCCTGTTATTCTCCTCCCTGTTATTCTCGGCATCGAAAATTCAACATTCAGTTCTTTCAATTTCTGTTTGGCTGCATTCGAAAAACTTAGATAATAGGTATTTAGATTATCATCCCTTTTATCTGGAAGCGTCTGAACTGTGATACTAACAACATCGTTAGCTTGTTTTTTGTTTGGAGCAAATTACTAAGTGGCAGTGTTATCGAAAATATATTTTGCAATTCCTTAAAGCTGCTGCGAAGTTTCTAGCTATAAAGACATACACTAATTTTTTCATTTATTCAAGATACCTACATTTTTACATGTCCATGAGGTGCTCGAGGGGGGGGGGCATGGCCCCATGCCCCCCCCCCTGGATCCGCCCCTGCTTAAGGTTTTAATTTAAGAAGAACACCAATTCCTACCTTATTTTCCTTGGTTCTTACGAAGTTCTCTGAACATTACAGGATATCCCGTTTCGTGGGAACCAGAACATAAAAAAATAAAATGAAACACTATGGACAAAACGTTCCTTACCGGATTAGTTTCCATATATTGATGTGCTGGTCCTGGATGTACCCTATAACGAAGGTAATAATAGGTCTTTTTGTTCTTGTTCACATTCCACTTGAGGGCTATTCTGTCGTGTGTCTTGCAGTGTTCCCTAGGAGGTGGTAGAAAGAATGAGTTAGGGCGTGGGTTGAGATGTGCGGGCGATAGTGGGTGCGAGGGTGCATGAGAAATTGAGGATGGACGTGAGGGATGTGGTAGAAGTGAGGGTGTGGAGGGTGGTTCTGAAGGCTCCACTTCAGTCTCATCTTGGTCGGAATCTGAAAATGAAATTGTAAATGTTGAAAGTTATACTGCCGTGCCAAGCTTTATTATTTATTGAAAATGTGACTTCCAGTCAGAAACAAGTTCTGGAATAAGGAGGTATAGTTAGTTGACAATAATACCTAACTATACAGTTATAACAAACTCGCATAAATATTATAATATTTGAAAACATTTAATATACAATTTTTACTACAAATCATTCCATATTGGTGAACAAAATTCAATTTGGAAAGAAATCAAAAGTTGAAAAAAAAATCTTCAATTTCATTCTGAACACTATCCCCAAACATTTATCAAATAATTAATGCGACTGAGTATATGAGAATGAAGAATTATATTTGCAATTTTTTTTTCGAGCTTGGGACATCTTCTCAGAGCTCCAATAATAGGTGATATTTTTCTCGTTTAAACTTTTATATGTTTGTCCCACTTTAATTTATCATCAAACCAAATCCCAAGATACTTTTTCCCATTAGTTTGTTTCAAAGCTTCAAAAGTGGTAAGTGGTATCTCCATTTTTTTCGTCAAATGGAGTCACTGCCATAGGGATATTCTTGGACTATTTTTCATAGGTTTTTTTGACTTCAAAGTGGTAACAGTAATTTATACACCAAGTTACTAAAAATAGTTATTTGCTATACAAGGCGACAAAGTAGTAAATTTTAGCTCGAGCTCAAAAAATCGTCTAATATTTTTCCCGTATAATAGTAACACTGATTTTTCTGTGACAGAAAAAAGAACGAATCAATATTGAGAAGATATTACACTATATTCGAATCAGAATATTATCGACGTGAAATCTGAAGATTTTAACAGGAATTACACCAGCGTTGCAGGCATCTTCATTAGTCTTTTGAAGTAATAAGTATCTGTCAGTCAAATTCTGTGATTTGATTTCAAAAATTACGAAGTCATGGTCATACCATATTACCATTTTCATCAAAAACAACCTTACTGTAAAATATGTCTCGTTATTTCATATAGATGTTCAGGTTGAAAATATTTAATACTTCAAACTGAATAATTATCCTGAGAGTATCTTTCTGGAGTTTTTAAGCTTAGCACGGCAGTATATATATAGGGTTATGTTCTAACATAGACCATACATAGACAAGCTGCTTATATACTGCCAATATTTTAGGTAGGTATTTTTCATTTGATCTTGGGGAAATGAATGAAATTCGCAAAAATATCGGCTTGATTTGAAACTTATAAAGTGCAACTTATTGAAGTCTCCAGTGGGATCGAAATCGAACTACATACAATAATTCTAATAAAATTATCCTGTATTTCAAGTTGAACGAAGGATGTACTAAAATTTGAAAACAAATATAAATTTATCTGTAGAATGATTAATTATATCCTCTATTTTTTTATCTTTAGGAGCACACGAAAGGGAATCCCTATTATCTACGTACAACATCGTGCGAAGCTAGGGAAGATAATGAGATGGATTAAATAGACGTTTTCTTTTATCATTTGACATTTTATGATTGTATTTTCAAATGTTCATACTTACTTTGCAATCTAATGCTTGCAATATTGCAATTGCATCTTGGTAGGTGGCACGACGTGAAGGAATCCTACAAAATAATAATATGGAATAACAATATATGACAGCTAATTGATATACAGGTAGCTAGCTACTTTGGAAAGCAGTGATTATAGTATTTTATATTTTGTTAGTGATGTTCGTTAACCAGACAAACAAAATCAATTATTTTAAATTTATGAAAAGTTCTGTTTGATGTCCCTCAAATATAAGATACATATTTATCTGACAAAATCGAATGCTATTTAAGTAAAAAACAATGGAATTAATGGTAAACATGTGGTCCAGGTGACCGCCGGTTAAAAATTATAATTACAAATTTTCCTATAATACAGTCAATTCATTATCATAAAATATATGTGATCGGACAAAATCTCATAGAAGTGGATTTGATGGAACAGACATTGATACTTTTTAGTGATAAAACAGGGTGTATGATGATCACACCCGCAAGTAAGGAATTTACAAAAAGTAATTCAGTCTGTTTATTATAGAAACATGATGGCATATATGTCTTAGTTTAAGTAATGAATGTGCCTGGTGCAAACAAATTCTATGAAAATTCAAGAATAATAACGGGTGTGTATACAGTGTCATTCATAAAGTCAGCATCATATGGGAAAAACTTTTATTAACGACTTATTTTGAAATTCGAGTTGGACGTCAGGTTTTGCTTCAAAAAAGATGAAAAATGGTCTACTCAATCGGGGTCACGTGACTTTCGCTACATGTCAAAAGTGACATTTTTTCAAATTAATCGCTGAAAGTAGGCTTATTTGTTCGAATATCGAAAAAGTTTACTTGAAAAAGTTGTTTCTATTTCAATTTTACATATGTGACTCGGATCTTATCTTTCTATTACATTTTTTAGATTTCGATATTTTTTAAAAATTTTCGAAATTTCTGTGATATTAAAAATATTGTAAATTCGATATAACTACTTCATACCAGTAGCTTCATCGTGTTACTAACTTTCAATCACTAATTATCACTAATTATCGACAAAAAGGTGATTTTCTTCAGAAAATGATAATCTTCGCTTCAAAATTCTGTTATGCTTGATGCAAACATAACATCAAAATGCTGTTATGTTTGAGTCAAGCATTTAGAAACGAAATTCATTTGAATTTATTTTTTCAGAACTGAAAAGATCAGTTTGAATGAATTTCGTTTCTGAATGCTTGACGATATATCAACTTTGCATCAAACATAACAGAATTTGGAAGCGGGTGTCGTATTATCATTTTCTGAAGAAAATCATATTTTTGTCCATAATCAGTGATAATAAGTAATTGAAAGTGAGTAGCATGAAAAAGCTACTGGTATGAAGTAGTTTCGTGAAATAAACAATTCTTCAAATAGTACAGAAATTTTGAAAAATTCAAAAAAAAAGAAAATCTAAAAGTTGCAATAGAAAGATCAAATTCGAGAAGCATGTGTAAAATTGAAATAGAAACAACTTTTTCAAGTAAACTTTTTCGATATTCGAACAAATAAGCCTACTTTCAGCGATTAATTTGAAAAAATGTCACTTTTGACATGTTGCGAAAGTCACGTGACCCCGATTGAGTAGGCCATTTTTCATTTTTTTCCAAGCAAAACTCAACGTACAAATCGAATTCCAAAATAAGACATTAATAAAGGTTTTTCCCATATGATGCCGACTTTATGAATGACACTGTATAATTTGCGGACAGGGCTAGGATTTCACGGATACTGCCTATTTCCAATATTTCCAGCAAATTAAACATGGCTTTTATTGCATATCTAGATTCAGCATTGTTCAGCTCCACTACACGAAAAGAAGAATTCCTTTCTCTGGCTCTTTTTTCATTACCTTCATAGTTCTCACAGAAGTCGTCAATTCATCTTAGTTTTCACAATAATCAACTCATGAAAAGACACGATGGGAAGTTTTGTTCCGCCCATGAGGGACACTTTGCTCGTGTGTTTTTTTCATAAAATTTTGAGGAGCAGTTGCGTGTGTTTTTCATAACATTTTGAGGACTGGGTATTTTTACAACTGGAATTACCTGAATTTCCACAAAAATCAACTCATAATAATACACGATGGGAAGTTTTATTCTGCCCTTGTGGGACACTCTGCTTGTGTGTTTTTTTCATAAAATTTTGAGTAGCAGTGGCGTAACTATACCATTCGAGGCACATAGCAAATTCATCGGATGGGCCTCCCTTCAATATACTTGTGAGAGTTCAATAATAAATTACTACGTGGTACATGCAATCTTAATAAATAAACTGATTTTCTAATAATTCACTTCAAAGGTACCTAATTTAGTAATTCAAAGTAAATATTGAACTGAAATGACAATTGTAGTTTGAGTACACATTGCCAATAATTAAAATTCCCTTTTTCGGAGTTTCTGTTCAGCAAAAGAGCGCTAATGAAATCACTAACATTCAAATTTTGGGCCATAGAATTCTCGATGGATAGAATAGCCAAGTTGCTTGACCTTTCTTGTACCATAGAATTCCTTAAATGAGTTTTTATCAATTTCAGTTTTGAAAATGATCGCTCATCGTCACCAGCGGTGGTGACATGAATTGTGAGAAATAACAGAAATGCAGTGTACACTTCAGGAAAGCTTGATGAAGATATAAAATGATTCTCTATTATATTAACAAACAGGTAATTTAAATAAATCAAAGACAAAACTATTTCTATTACTAAATGTGTAATACACTACACTGTTTTACCACTAACCAAACCGATTTTTTAACGCCTCGACACGTGTTTCGCTAACTATGTTAGCATCTTCAGGAGAAGATTAAAACTGAATGGTTTAATTAATTACTCAGTTTTAATCTTCTCCTGAAGATGCTAACATAGTTAGCGAAACACGTGTCGAGGCGTTAAAAAATCGGTTTGGTTAGTGGTAAAACAGTGTGGTGTATTATCGTGTCAAAGGTTCAAGTCTTCGATATATAAATGTGTAATAATAAATGTTGGGAGACCCTGTAGTTACGCCACTGTTGAGGAGTATTTTTGCAAGTCATCTAGATTTTCACGTGTGAGTAAGATTAACATGCCTAGGTCCATAAAAGCGCCCGAAATACATACAGCATTTTATGCACGACCGATTAAGACATTTTTTTATTTAATGTCAATATAAAATTTATCAATGATTTTGAATCCATGTATATGCCACGGGCGAAGAAAAATCGTGCTAATATTTACGCCCGCGATTCTCGGCGATAAAGTACCACTTTACGCTTGGTCGTGCATAAAAGTAATTAAAATGAGTTAGAATTATTGGAGAGAAAACACAAAGTATCACTTCTTTTCTCTTATTATCCCGACAAAACACATATACAGGGTGTTTCATTACTAATTGGAAATATTTCAGTCATAAAATTCTGAGCACGAAATATGAAGATTTAACTTAACCCAAATCACCTACATAAAACGTGTCTCCTGTCTGTTACAGGGTTTTTTCATTATTCATTATAATGAAAATATTTAAAAACCATTATGTTATTTTATGCTTTTTTGTTGATTTATGAATTGAAGTCCCATTTGCTTAATGAATGCATATCAATAATCCAAAACATCAACATAATTTGTATACACATATCAAAATAATTGTGCAGCTTCATGTTTAACTTTAGTATCTACACTTCCCGCCAAATATGACATTGACACGTCAATTACTAGACACAAACACCCTATATATCAGACAGGGGACACATTTTATCTATAGGCGATTTGGGTTTGAGCTCAGGATTCTATACAGTATGATGCAAATGTATGGAATAAATTCATTATTTAAGAAATAGGCGACATTTTAAAAAATTCCAAAAACACGTGAGGTTTCATTTTTGAAGCCTCATCTCATGATATCCATATGAGAGATGTTACGTCACCGGTGTTGGAGTAATGACGTAATGAACGATTTTTTCAAATGAAAACAGGGGTCATGTGACACCTCGTTTGAAAGGTCTACTGATCGTCTATTCAACAGTCAAAATTTTGCGTAAGAAAATTGAAATTAAAATGGATTATCATTTGATTAACTGAATCTTGCAGAGGTCTGCTACTGAGAATTGAACAACGAAGGGTCGTCTATTTGTAAAAATAAATCAATTAATAAAGTTCTGAAGTCTAGTTTTTGGATTTTTTCGGAAGTCGTCTTGTTTTGAAATGAATTTATTCCATACATTTGCATCATACTGTATATAGTTGGTATAGTTTTTTTTTTCAATTAGTAGTGAAACACCCTGTATGATCACGTGAGAAATATTTATATTTGATATAATATATTGTTCTGATAGTCCTGTGATAGGTAACCCTACTCGACATAAAATGTTGCAGTTCAATTACCTGTTCGAAGAAATGTTTGAGACTTTTCGAATATTATCAGGAGACACACGTTATCACCAACAAAACGAAAATAATTGAATATATCTCACCTGCTGTGTTGGACATCCGAAACACCTTTGTTGCTGTGTAGACAGCTCTACTGGAACTCTATTTACTTCTAAACCATCACAAGAAACATTCACAAAAACTACACCAACAAAAATCAGCACCACCATGACCTCGCACATTATGAATGATTGAAAATGTCACATATTAACGAAAAAAACACCTCCACAGTTCTTGCAGCTCAAAATGTTTTGTGTATCTTCGCTATTTTTGAATATTATAAAGATTTCGATTATCGTTCTTTTTCTGTCTAGTGCCATTGATGGAAGGGAAACTATTACTGATTGCATGAAATGGGTTCATTAAGAGTACGTGTAGATAATGATATTATAATTGTATTCCGATGTTGGATTAGGCATGGGAGCGATTCAGATAAGTTTAGGAAATGATGGGTTTTTTTAGGACCTATATTAGGTATAGGTACGGGTGATGTTTTTATTGGGCTGTTTAAAGGATTTATGAAGATTAGATTATTGCCATCAACTGGAGCTACCTAATGCCTAATACAGGTAAAAAATATACCAGGCAGGTAGCTAGTCAATCAATGTATGTACATGGTGATTCACCATAAATGCCACCCCTCTAGCTTATTTATTTTTGAACCGATTCAAAAATTTTAGGAATAATTTGAAATTATTTTTCACAAATTTATGTTTCGCCGCATCAGATATAGAGGTTGCTCGTAACAAACGATGTACAGGGTACTAATTGTTTTTTTTTTAATGAAACACCCTGAATTTCATTGCATTTTTGGATTCTCCCTGAAATCAAAAGTTGAAAAATCTGGATTTTGAACATCCTATATCTCTGTAATCATTCCCGCTAGACCCAAGTGTGATAAATTGATTCAGGGATAATCTAAGAATGCAATTGAAATACATTTGAAAAAATCAACTAGTATATACCCTGTAAATCGTTTATTCCGAGCCCCCCGTATTTTCTGATATAGCTTAAATAAAATTATAAAAAATCATTTCAAATGATTCTTAAAATTTTGAAATCGGATCGAAAATAACTGAACCAGAAAGGGGAGGCTTTTATGGTGAATCACTCTGTACATACCTGCAGGTAGTGCAGGTAGGTTATTCTGGACAACAAAAATTAGGTATGTTCACTATGTTCTCGGGGTGCCGGGTATGGTAAAACAATCTTGATATTTTCCAAAAAATTGTATCCATTTGATACACCTATAATGAATTTGAATACTGTCGGGATCAAGTTTATCAAGTGGTAAATTTGTTCAGATCCTGTAATTTGTATAGTATTCATTTATACTTTTTTCTTTTTGTGAGAATATACAGGGTGTCCCGTGAATCGATACCCATAGCTGGAAGGGCATATTCCTTGAAAATTTTCAAGTCGAAAGTGCCTTATACACTTTTGTCCAAAATATTAAATCAAAACAGAGTGCGTAGAATGATGTTGAGATATTGTTGAATAAAGTATAATAATGTGATATTTAACAATTGATAGATATTTCATCACACAAATTCAAATAAAGTTTTTGTTCAAGAAGTCAACCGCTGCATTATTGCTCTTCTAATTATCGGACGTTGCTATATGAAAATAAGTATCTGGATCGTCTCGTAAAGATGCAGCTGCAGTCATAATATTTTGAATTAGCTCATCTCTGGTTCGTGGTTTATTTGAATACACTAGATATTTTATATATTCCCAAAAATAATAGTCAAGAGGCGTTAGATCAGGTGACCTCGGTGGCCAAAGAACTGGAAAGGCCAAACCATTAACGGAAAATCTTTGATTTAATTGCAGATTACATGTTATACCATAAACAGTGAGTGGGCGCGGTGTATGTTTGGTTGCATATGGTACAATCGTGCATTAATAGAGAAATTGATTATTAATAGTGGTCAATAATGATCAATTTCATAAACATTAAACTCACTCGCTTATAGGAGGTCGACGGAAATAGTAATTTATACACCAAGGTAGTAAAGAATATCATTAATACCCAGGGACCAAGATTATATCCCGACGGAGGGGTATAAAGTGGTATATATTACATTTTGTGCACCACATCAATATGTTTAGATCATTATAGTTCTGTGAAACTGAAATGTGAACCATGTCACTATGAAAGCACTTTTTTTCAATTCTAATTAAATTCTAGCCACCATGATGAATACCTACTAGATCTCAGTGCCATTCTTGTGAATATGGCATCAGAACAATGAATTCCTGTTGATTATAACAGAGGCTATGTCTTTATTGACTATAGTGGTTAATAAAATGACGAAAACTACCTTGGTAGTAAAAACACACTTTAGACCTTCAAAAGGAGTAGATAATGGTAAGTTCAATAGCTAGTGGTGGAAAAACAATATTATCTCCCTATACAGGGTGTCCCATAAGTAATGGATGAAAAGAAGTGTGGTGGTAATTAGTAATATGTATATGTTTTTATCAAATTGTTGATGGTTCAAAATCAATTATTTTTATAGAAATGAAAAAACATCCATGTATATCGGCGCCACTGATGTAAATCCAATTGCCCTTTCAAATTTTTCACATATTATTTTTCCACCACTAACCTTCTTGCCTTTGGATAATATAGATGTGCTTGCTATATGATAATAGCTCACTTCTCACCCTATTTCATGTCTTGCTTTGATCACTCAGTAAAATATGAAAATGTAAACCATAGCAATATTCATTTTAGGCAGATTATAATGATATGAATTCCAGTGATTATTCTATGTGCAAGTACCTATTCAGTTATATCCTCATGTAATGATACCTATACTGTGATAAAACAAACCAGAAATCAGTAATCTATTCACTAAATAGTGCATTATGTATAGTTGGTGAAGAGAAAATTGTGTTTTTCATAATTCCACAATATATTACAAGCTTTGAACTACAATAAAATCTTAACTAAATGATTATCTAATGGTGTTCCCCATGTCCATGTTCACTGGGGTAGATCCTATCATAAATTGCTGTACCACCCACAGTGAGCACAAAAGCTGCGAATCCGTACCGGAAACCCCTGAAGAAGACCTTCCTCAACATGATCTTTTCTGTACTCCAATACTTGGGGTCATAGCGCCACACTTCATTTCTGAGCCAGGGATCTTTTAGACCTTGAGAGGCTAGGGCTCTTTGAGTGGTCAGCAACTCAGGCACGTCTTCCACTTTGTAAATCCTCCAATCTGGGATTTTGTAAGGTTCGTGGTGGCCGTGTCCGTGTCCATGTCCATGGTCGCCCCCCATAGCTGGAGAATAACATAACCTCAAATTATTAGATAACCGATTAATAGCAAATAGCCAAAAATTTTTGCACAATTTGAGATATGATTTGGAGAATCTTCACATTATTTTTGTTCTTACCTAATTATTTTCGATTAGGACACACACAAAAATAATAAATGTTATGGAATAGAACGTATCGCAATTAGAGGTGGAAAACTATCGATATATTTGTACTATCGAAACAATCGATAGTTTTTGGATACTATCGAAAAATAGGTTCTTCAGATGCAGAATTTCACTCCCAGAGTCCATGAGAGTTCGACACTTCGACGTTCACCGAAGGACAGTAAGTAAAAATCAATCTTATCTAATAAGAAAATTATGATATTGGACCGAGGGAAACAATATAACTAGAGAGAATATGTCCCAGCTTCAACTGTTCTGTCCGAGAGAATTTTCTCGAAACCAAAACTGAACAAATAAATTTTATAGGGTCTCAATCCTGAAGTCAAAAGCGGTCCTACGAGTAATAGTGTTGGATTGTGAAATAATCAGTTCACTCCTGCTCTGAATAACATCCTGTGAATAGGAATTGTTTTGTCAGTTTTTGACTTATTAGAATTAATGATGTAATTAAGTGTCAGAATAAATATAATATACTTGTCATCATCAAAAAGTAGTTCTCAAAAGAACTGTATACTTCTGCCGATTTACTAGAGGTTATGGGCATAGGTGAACGCTGAAGTAAAATGAGTCAAACAAGTTATAGAATAGAGCCACTAAGAAGTGACAACTACGATACTTGGAAACTACAGGCGCAAGCAGTATTAACACGAGCTGGATTATGGGACTATGTTTCAGGTAGAAATAAAAGACCTAATGATGATGCTAGTGATGAGTGGGAAAAAGGTGATTTGAATGCAAAATCGGAACTTATACTGATCATTTCACCTAGTGAGTTGAAACAAATCAAAAACTGCCTCACGTCCAAAGACATATGGGAAAGTTTACAAAAAATTTACCAAAGTAAAGGTCCTGCTCGAAAGGCTACACTACTGAAACACCTAATATTACATAAAATGAAAGAAAACGATAATGTGAGAGAGCATTTAAACACATTTTCTGATACAGTGGACAAGCTATCTGAAATGGATATCAAAATAAATAATGATCTACTGAGTATCATGATGCTCTACTCTCTTCCACAATCGTTCGAGAATTTCCGGATTGCAATAGAGTCCCGTGATGAGTTACCCTCTCCAGAAAACTTAAAAATAAAAATTTTAGAAGAAAGTGAAGCAAGAACCAAGAGTCATCCAGGTAGCAGCAGCAACGAAGGTGCATATTATGGGAGAAATAGAAATCAGTATCACAAAAGATACAATAACACTAGCCAATTTCAAACAAATAGACAGTTCGAGAATAACCAGTACAGACAAGTAGAAAACAAAGTGAAGTGTAACAAATGTAACCGTTTTGGACATAAAACAATCGACTGCAGATCTAGAACTTATAAAACTAACGCAGTTTCATTCAAAGCTGAAGAATTATGTTTATCCCTGGGAAACTATGAAGAAAAGAAAAGTTGGTGCCTTGACAGCGGATGTACGTCGCATCTCTGTTCGGAAAAAGAAACTTTTGAAACAATTGAAGATATAGAAAATGGATATCTCAAATTAGCATCAGATAATCAGACAGCTCCTATTCAAGGAAAAGGAGAAGTCACACTGACGTTTTCAGAAGATCAAAATGTAACGTTACAAAACACACTGTATGTACCCAATCTCTCAACAAACTTGATATCGGTTGGAAAAATAACCGAGAAGGGTTACACAGTTTTATTCAGAAAAAATGATGCCATCATTGAAGACCAACAAGGATTCCCAATTTGTAAAGCAAAAAGAAAACAAAATTTGTATTATATGGAAAATGATAACGAGGAAGAAACTTCATATATCTCAACTGAAATGATGATTTGGCATGAAAAGCTCGGACATATAAATGAAGCTGATCTGAGATCTGCAATGCAAAATAATGTAATGAATGGATTAGAATTGAATTCGAAAGAAAAATTAGGTACTTGCGAAACCTGCATTAAAGGAAAAATGACAAGATTACCATTTCCCCAAAGGGAACATGAAGCTGAATCTCTGTTAGAAGTAGTTCATTCTGATGTTTGGGGTCCATTCAAAATAAAATCTCATGGTGGTTCCCAGTATTTTGTCACATTCACAGATGAACATTCAAGATATTGCAAAATTTTCTTTCTTAAACATAAAAATGAAGTTCTAGAATGTTTCAAAACATACAAATATGAAGTGGAAAATGAACATGACACAAAAATAAAATACCTACAGAGTGATAATGAAAAAGCTGAGTACTGTAATACAGAATTTGACAGATTTTTGAGGGAAGCCGGAATCAAAAGAAGACTTTCCTGTACCTACACGCCTCAGCAAAATGGCATATCTGAACGAAAAAACAGATCGCTACTAAATAAAGCAAGATGTCTGATGATTGGAGCAAAATTACCATTGATATTTTGGGCCGAAGCTATTAACACAGCTAATTACCTGATTAATAGGTCTCCATCTAGAGTATTAGATGGCAAAACACCATTCGAAAAATGGGTACATCGTGTCCCATCAATTAGACATCTCCATGTTTTTGGATCAAAGGCATTTGTTCTCAATAAAAAGCCGAATAAAGGGAAATTTTCAGCAAGAGCTGAAGAAGGAATATTTATGGGTTATTCCGAAACATCAAAAGCATATCGAATTTGGATGCAAAATCGAAGAGAAATAGTTATCTCGAGAGATGTTAAAGTTATTGATGATAAATCAAGTAGCTGCAATGATGTGGAAGAATCCTATGATATATTTGAATATGAAATAAATAAAAAACAAGACAAAAGTCATACACATCCTGCAACAAATGAAAACTCAAATTTAGAGATTGATATTTCAATTGAAAATGAACTTGAAGATAAAAATCGATACAAAAATCCTGAAAATGAAAATCAATCTGATAATCAACATGAAGAAAACCAACAAGAAATAGAAAATGATCCAGATGAAGAAGTACTACAGACACATGAAAGAACCGGAAACACAAACAAAGAAGACAACATTACAGAAACAGAACATTTTCAAGAGCTAATTGGAAACGAAAATAGACCAAGAAGAAATATACAAAAACCAAAGTGGGCTGAAGATTATGTGTCATATTTCATTGGAGAAAAAGACGCAGAAGAAGAAACCGAAAATGAACAATGGAAGGAAGCAATAAAAAATGAAATGAAAGCTCACATAAAAAATGGGACGTGGATAATTACTGATAAGAAGTCAGGCAAAAATGTTGTGACAAATAAAATACTCTTGAAAGAAAAATTCAATGCAGATGGCAGCTTAGAAAGAAGGAAAGCCAGATTAGTAGCTAGAGGTTTCACTCAACATCAAGGAGTTGATTATACCGAAACTTTTGCACCAGTGGCTAAACTAAGTTCCATCAGATTGCTGTTAGCTTTAGCAGCAGAAGAAAATCTACAATTAAATCAGATTGACATAACAACCGCATTTCTGAATGGTGAGATTGAAGAAGAAATCTACATGAGAATACCGAATAATTTTGAAAAATATCTACAAGAAATAATTTTTGAAGAAAGTACAAACAACGAAGAAATTTATCTGAAAGCTACAAGAATGTTAGAAGACCTTAGAAAAAATTCAAAAGAAAAAGTATGTCAACTGAAAAGAGCCCTTTATGGACTAAAACAAGCGGGAAGACAATGGTTCAAAAAACTAGACACAAAATTGATCGAAATGGGATTCAAATCATCAGAGGCTGATCCCTGTATCTACATATACAGCAAAGGGGGAGAACAGGCCATTCTTGCAGTATATGTGGATGATCTGATCATAGCCACATCATGCGATACAGTATTGATGCAAATAAAACAAAAAATCATGAAAAGTTTTGACATGCGAGATCTAGGCACTTTAAATTACTGCTTGGGAATGGAATTCGAACAAAAAAATGGGATCATAACAATAAATCAACAAAAATATATCACGGATTTATTAAATAAATTTGAAATGCAAGACTGTAAAAGCATAAAAAGCCCCATGGAAGAAAACTTGAAATTAGAAAAAGGAAATCCAAAAAAAATGCCTAATGTGCCGTACCAAAATTTAATTGGATCACTTATGTATCTATCAGTTGCAACTCGACCAGATATATCTTATGCAATAAGTTACCTTAGCCAATTCAATAACTGTTATGATCAAGAACATTGGGTTGCAGCTAAACGTGTTCTACGGTATTTACAAGGAACTAAAAATGTGAAACTTGAATTCAGAAAAACTGGAAGAGAAATAACAGGATATGCAGATGCTGATTGGGGATCTTGTACAATTGACAGAAGGTCTTACACTGGCTATTGTTTTATCTTTGCCAACGCATCTGTCAGTTGGGAATCACGTAAGCAACGAACTGTTGCACTATCAACGGCTGAAGCGGAGTATATGTCGCTCACCGAAGCATCAAAAGAAGCCATACATTTAAAAAATTTGATCAATGATATGAGATACACTCAAGACAAAATTTTGATCTACAATGACAATCAAGCAGCGCAAAAATTGGTTTCTAACCCCATGATAAACTCGAAGTCAAAGCATATCTCTATAAAAGAACACTTCATCAGAGACCTTGTAAGAAGAGGAGAAATTGAAATTGACTACAAAAAGACAGACGATATGATTGCTGATATATTGACAAAATCAGTCAATGGAAATCGTCACACCTTTTTATCCAGAGGTCTTGGACTTCAGTTGAGCAGTTCGTGAGGGGGAGTGTTGGATTGTGAAATAATCAGTTCACTCCTGCTCTGAATAACATCCTGTGAATAGGAATTGTTTTGTCAGTTTTTGACTTATTAGAATTAATGATGTAATTAAGTGTCAGAATAAATATAATATACTTGTCATCATCAAAAAGTAGTTCTCAAAAGAACTGTATACTTCTGCCGATTTACTAGAAATAGTACCAGTGGGATTGATTACTCCCTCCAGAGCATCACAACAAGTCATTTTTTAAATGTTCTTCATATAAAAAATGATGAAAATAAAATCAAAAAGAAATTCAACAAAAATATTGAGAAATTATGAGTCAATAAAATTGAAACAAACAGCAGAATTTCTACATCGTCCTGAAAAGGATCCTTGTTACCACCTGGAGATTCACTTCAGGACCATCTTTGCCTGAATTCTGAAATGTAGTTGAAATCAATGTGGACAAATATATTATTTTCCTAACGAAATTCTAAATCGATAGTATTATCGATAGCATCGATAGTTTTCAAATAAACTAACGAAATTCTAAATCGATAGTATTGTCGATAGCATCGATAGTTTTCAAATAAACTATCGAAATATCGATAGCATGTCCTTAGGAAACGTCAGACGTCATGGACATTTGACAATAATGACATTCCTCTTATTGCTTCCACATTTGACACTTTTGACAGTATTGTCATCAGAGTCTTTGTCAGTGTCATAATCAATCAGCAGAGGGCAGAGCAGTTCCAGAAAAAGGCAAGCATCAAACACGAATAATTGGATATCATACTCGAATTTATGGAAATAAACTGAAAATAAATTACTATTTCACCACGTAATGGGTACAGAAATTCTCCAAACATATGGAACTCTCCAACATGAGTTGGAAGAAGCGAAAAATAACTTGAAAGGTACAGATGAAAGTTTGAAAAGGTTGATAGGCAGAGATCCCTCAGAATTGCCCCCTAGAATCTCTGCAAAACGTCCCCTTCCTGATGACAAGAACAGACCCGGTATCAGAATACAAAGTAGGATACGAAACTTTGCACATGAGAATGAAGCACCTGCTGCTAAAAGAAGAAACAATGTGTCAGTGTTCCAAAGACTGTCTGAGAAGGTAATAGATGATGATGACCACTTTGTTCAACAGAAAGGGATGATAAGCAAAGTTATAGTGACTCCTAAAGAAGTACCAAGCAGGGAAGAAGCTCTTGAGGCCCAAAGTAGAGATGAAAAATTCAAAGCAAGAAATAAGAGAATGTTTGGGGCATTATTGGGAACATTACAAAAGTTTCAGCAAGAAGAGACAAAACTGAAACAGAGAGTGAGTCTCCTTAAATGTATTCAGTATTTTATGTTCAATGATTTTTTAATATTTTCAGGAGCAGAAACGTGCAGTTCTAGAGAAAAAAATTGAAGAACATGAAATCAAGGAGAAAGAAGAAGTGAAAAAAGAGAGACAAGAGCTGTTTTTCAATCGCAGAAAGAAACAAGCAGAGATAAAGATGATTGAATTGAAAATGTTGAGGATGAGAGAATATGCTACTTGGGAGAAGAGTCAGAAACCAAGGATGAATTTCATTACCACCAAATCTAAACCTCATATACAATATATGCCTAGGAGAATGACTGACCAAACCAAAAAACTGCTAGAGGACAGTCAAAAAGATGTTGAAAGTAAGTAAATATTCAATTTGTAATTATCTATGAAAAAATTCATTGTTCAGGGCTTGAGTCAAGGTAAGAAAAATAATCTTTCATATCAAATAACAGTTGTTCATTGGTATACTAATCCTTTTTTTTTGCAGAACTATTAGAAAAAAAGCAACAGCAGATAGCAGATGAATTGAAACACATTGAAGAACGTATGAGACGTAACTTTGATTACAGGAACAGAACAAAAGATGATAAAGAAGTTGTACAAGAAGATCATCATGACAATGAAGACAACAATGATCGTGAAGATCATCTAAATGAAGTCCTTGCAGAATCACAGATTGCCCTCAAAAAAGAAAAAGATGAAATGGAAATCAAAGCAGCAAATATGGAAGATGATAATAATAAGGAAGAAAATAATAAGGAAGAAAATGACAAGGAAGAAAATAACAAGGAGGAAAATGACAATGATGAAAATGACAAAAGAGACAAAAATGAGGAAGAAAGTAGCCAAGAGGAAGATAAACCAGAACAGAAACCAGTTGAAGGAAATGAAGAAGAAAATATCAAAATTGATTCTGAGGTTCTTGATAATGATAATTCTGTACCCTGTGAAGAAACCATGGATGTTAGTGCTGATGCAGTTAAAGAATTTTCACAAGAAATGGTGTCACAATCAGAAATTCAAGAAGGCAGTATCCCAGAGAATAATGTGCAAATGGAACTATCTGAGACTCCACCTTGTGAGTGATAGTGACAAGCTGATAAGTGTCTTTCTGGTTAATACATCTACTAGCAGCAATTAGGAGGGTAGGTATTGAGCTGTAAAGTTAATTTGTATAAATGAGGAATGAAGTTTTAAATACTTTTTTGTATCAACATGTGGAAATTAATTATGAAGGTTTGATGTAGTCCCTGATTACTGTTAATTTATAATCATGTATGTTTTACTGATCAATTGAACCTATGTTTCAACAAATAAACTTCATAGGTAAAACAGAAAGTTTCTTTTTACAGACAGAATGACAATTAATAGATTGGTTGAAAGATTGGCATTACTCTTGATTCTACTTCTTGGATATCACAATTTTCAAAGTATACTGAATTTGATTTTACTTTCATGATGAGTTTGTCTATGATTTCTAAAATGATGGTCAATAGTTTTAATATGATCATTTTCATACAATAATGAGACCAGTAGAGGGTATACAATATTTTATTTCCTCTTTCCTCTGTGACACTTAACAAAAATATGTTGTGCTATTAATGTCATATGATTATTGGTGCATTTTCTATATTATTATTACCTATACTTATTATCTCCTAAAATTAGGCCTGCCTCCTGGATTATCTCCTATATAGTACTGCTTTGAGTACTGTCACATCAGGACAAAAAATATTTAATAATAACAATGCCTGAAAGCATGTAGACATAGACTTGAAGTATTTGGAATATGGCATGATACAGTGTCCCATTAGGTATTATTTCATTATCATTATTTGCCTAGGTTGAAAACTTGTTACTTCTTATCAGTTGAGTTTTTTGAATAATTTTGATTTCTCAGATTAGTAGTGAAAAAACAAATTTTCGTTAAGAAATCAGTTTGTATTACCATAGATCTATGGTATTACCTTTGTGTACCACTAAGAAAGGAAGCTGGCTGTATCTCGGAAACTATTTGCTGCACAGGTTTCAGAAAAAAATATTCATGATAAAAGTGGCCAAGAAAAATCTCTGGAAATTATTTTTAAGTTTCCAGGACAGCCGCTAGAGGGCATAATTGCATTGGCCAACTTGAAAAACGGGGTTTTATGAAGATTTGATATATCAAGACATATCAGAAACACTTTTTCCATTTTCTTGAGTAGATTTCCAATCATTTCCATAAAAAAATTGCGCTACAGTTTGGTGTAACGGAATTGAGCGATCTAAGGGTCTTTTCAGATCTTCCCGATAAATCACGAATCAAGTCGATTTAAGTTCCGTGGTGGCCGCTAGATGGCATCGTTTGAAAAATCAGCCGATTTGACTTTTTTTTTTTCGAGAATTTCAAATGGAACCATATATTTTTCCTGCTATGATATGAAAGTGAAGTGAACGAGAAGAAAAATGGTGAAAACCGCGAGTTGATACCTCTTGAAGATCCGAAGAAATACTCGGAATAATATTAAAATTTAAACTGTTAGCATGTCAAATGCCTCCTCATTCGTTATCGGCATTTTGAAAAATAAGCAATCTACAGTGGAAACTTTCAATGGAACTTATATTTTGACGTTTCTTTCATTCAAAGCCAATTTGCCTTTTCTCATTCCTGATGAGCCTATACATTACTAAAGTCTCCTTCACTATTGTGAGATATAACAGCAGTTTGTGAAACCAAAATAAATGAAATTGAAATCATAATTTCATAGATACAGGATATTTCTGATGACGATTATTGAAGTTAGATTCCTGTGGTGATTCCTGTGGTGAATATTTTCATATTATAATATTATTATAATATTATTTCGAGTATTTCACCGGTTCCTCAAGAGGTATCAATTCGGGGTTTCCTCCATTTTTTTTCTTGATTACTCTACTTTCATATTAGAGTAGAATGAATATATGGTTCCATTTGAAATTTTCGAAAAAAAAAGAAAATTGATTTTTCAAACGATGCCATCTAGCGGCCACCACAGGATTTAAATCGACTTGATTCGTGATTCATCTGGAAGAACCAAAAAAACCCTTCATAATGAGACCAAGATCGTTGAATTCCGTTACACCAAACTATAGTAATGAGAGTTTTTTCAAAGTACTATTCATCCTTTAGTGCGTTGGGTTGGTTCAAAAAAGTATAAGAATATTGCTATTCTGGCTACCAGCATGAAATTTGGCATACATGATGAGAAATATATAGGAAACAAAAAACCATCGAGACACAAGCTGTGTCTGGAATATTTCGTCCGCCATTTTCTAAAATGGCGGCCGAAAACTAGATTTTTGCTGATATCTCAAGAACGGTGCAAAATTTTGGAAGAGTTCAAACTTATGAAATAAAGAACATTACAAGGCGGACATTTTTTGGTCTGAAACATTTTCTTGTGAGGCTAATATTAAAGTCAATAAATTGAATATATTCAGAGGAAAATCCTCGTTTTCTCAAAAAAACATCTAAAATACCAACAATTACCCCGTTACCATATCAAGTATCCCTACCTATTCATAAAAATCCTCCTTTCACTTGTGTTAAATCCTCCTTTCACACGTGTTTATTTAAAAATATAGAAGATCTTTTTTATCTCTACAATATACCGGGTGGGGCATTTATCTTGAGGCAAAATTATATCTCGCTTGCGATGTATTCGATTATATCCCATTGTTCAGCACAGATTTGGATTGGAAATCATTGGCCTTACATTATTTGTCTGAAATGTCTTTCGAAATAATCGAGTCGAACCGAGATATAATTTTGTCTCAATATAAATGCCTTACCCGGTATACTCACTTTGATCTCTCACTCAATTTTTCAAACCCTGGAATTGCAACCATATATTCCAAATGCAACTAACTGGGGATGGAAGTCGTCAAATCTAGAATGTCAAGATGAAACGATTGAACCACTTTAGACAGTTTTGCCACAAGCATCTGATGAATGTTCAGAATTGATCAGCTGCAGATGCAATAGATTTGATTTGAAGTGTACTGCTCTATGCACGTGTGATGGACAGTGTACTCAATAAACATTATTTGTAATACTGTTGTATTAGTTAGTTCACCAAGATTCTTACTGATCTAATCGAACCTAATTAAACATCAAGCCTATAACATGAATGATATATGATTTCATTTGGATTAAAATGATTGACCGTCATTTTACGTACCTTCGGTTTGAATCCTCAAGAAAGAGTTCATCATACAGATAACTCATGATCATGATTTCTGTGGATAATCTTAGCCTGAATGTTTCCATTTTGATTTTTTCTTGAGAAACCTTGACAAATTGAATTTTAATATTTCGATTATTGAACTTTTGATTCGTCTGACAAAAAAAATGTTTCGAACAAAAAATGTCCGCCTTACTATCTTCTATATTTCATCATTTTGAACTTTCCCGATATTCTCCACCGTTCTGGAGATATTAGCAAAAATCCAGCTTTGTGGAATGCAGAATATTTAGGACCAGATCATTGAAAGTAGGTATGAAAGCATGCATGTTCGAATAATGTGACTTCATATATTATCTAATATAGTTATAATCTTATGCTTTATCATCCTACAGGTTGTTATTAATTATTAATGGGCGGTTTGGTAGAAGAAGTACCTAAGTATATAGCAATGTAAATAGGGTTCCATTCACCAGATTCATCTGATGAATGTTCAGAGTTGATCAGCTGCAGATGCAAAACAATGTGTATTAAGAACTGCAAATGCAATAGATTTGATTTGCAGTGTACTGCTCTATATGCACGTGTGATGGACAGTGTATTCAATAAACATTATTTGTTATACTGTTTTATTAGTTAGTTCACCAAGATTCTCACTGATCTAATCGAACCTAATTAAACATCAAGCCTATAACATGATTGATATATGATTTTATTAGATTAAAATAATTGACCGCCATTTTACGTAATGGTACCTTCGGTTTGAATCCTCAAGAAAGAGTTCATCATACAGATAACACATGATCATGATTTCTGTGGCTAATCTTAGCCTGAATGTTTCAATTTTGATTTTTTCTTGAGAAACCTTGAAAAATTGAATTTTAATATTTCGATTATTGAGTTTTTGATTCGTCTGACAAAAAAATGTTTCGAACAAAAAATGTTCGCCTTACTATTCTCTATATTTCATCAATTAGAACTTTCCCGATATTTCCCACCGTTCTGGAGATATTAGCAAAAATACAGCTTTCAGTCGCCATTTTGAAAAATGGCGGCTGAAATATTCCAGATACAGCGTGTGTCCCGATGGTTTTTCGTTTTCTATATATTCATCAACATGTATACCAAATTTCATGCTGGTAGCCAGAATAGCAATATTCTTGTGCTAACATAACGCACTACTTCCCTTCCTCTTTCATTTAAAGAGCTAGCTCAATTATTTTTATCGAAATAATTTGATATCAACTCGAGAACATGAAAATAGTGTTTTTGATATGTCTTGATATATAAAATTTTCATAAAATCCCGTTTATTAAACTGGCCAATGCAATTACGCCCTCTAGGGGTGGTCCTGGAAACTTGAAAATAATTTCCACTCTTGGCCACTTTTATCATTAATATATTTTTTTGAAACCTGTGCGGCAAATAGATTACGAGATACAGCCGGCGTCCTTTCTTATTGGTACACCCAGTATTTATATATCATGTTATGTTTTTATTTTCTAGAATTTGTTGTAAGACTAATGTGCACATATATGATAATGATAAGCCAACATTTCATCAAGACAGTTTGATTATAAAATTCGTGTTTTCTTGGTTGAAGTATGTAGATAGGAAATCAAAAACCGAGAGATGGAAAATTACCAAAATGTTTTGATTTTGTGATCTGTAGATTCTACCATATTCCAATTCGAATCAAGTTCTTATAAATTATAGCCTAGAAAAGAATAAGTAGTGTCTATTCACCAACAAATAACAACCACATTGAAAAGCAATATAGTTAATTATGGAGAGTATAATATAATAACATGCTTGTTTGCAAATAAATTATAACTATTTTAGTCAGTTCAAAGACTTTCACGTCTATTATAAAGGTACAGTTCAAGCGAGGGGGAGAGAAACAACAAAAAAACTACCTTTTGGATTGGAATCTTTTGTAGCCAACCCAATATACAGTTTGTCTTCTTGAAGATTCAATACCTCTGTAAAATCTCTATTTATTTGAAATATTTTGAGAAACTTCTTGTTGGGTAATGGGTATATCTATGTATTTGAAATATAACAATAATAGGGTGGATTATATGGACTAGAATTTCACTTTTTGGAATTTGAGCACATGAAAGGTA